AGCCAGTCCAGGAAAAGGCTGCCCGTGGCCGGGATGCGAATCCACGTTGAACTCCAAACCCTACAAACATATGGCGAGGCATCTCTGTGTGGTGCTTTGCCCACTCCCTGGCTGCAATGAGTCTTTCGCCAACCATGAGAACCTAAACAATCACCGCCGGAGTGCGCACGGGCTGAAAGCTGAGGAAGTTCCCGGCCCCGAAGCAGTCAGGAAAAGACTCGAGGGTCTTGGTTGGAAGAAAGCGATGACTTCGTCGGACGTCGCCGATGCTGGCAGCGATGACAAGAAGCCGCCGAAGAAGAAGCAAAGGAGGGAGTAGTTTCGGTTGGTGACGCAGTATGGATTTCTGATTTTATCTCTGGTTCTACGGATGCATCTATGTAGTGGTAGGTATCTTTCTGTTTCTTGTTGTTGCTCAATCCCGGACTGTACTTTATCGGACTGTATCCCTTCGCCCTCACCATTAATGTCGCTGCTCGCAATGCTCCTCCCTCGTCATGATTATCACTATGTACTACTATCGTATCTGTATGTATCGTCGCCGTTATGCAAGCAATACCTTGCCCAGTTTTATTACCCGTGAATTTGTCGTGAATGTTTTCACCAACTCAACCGTCGAGACTCGACGCGTCGCTCCGTACTTGGAAAGTCAAGAGTTGCAAAAAAACTGCAAGCGCGCATAGATTGCTCATTGCCTCTGGACTTCCAACTCCCGTTTAGCTCAGTTGGTAGAGCGCGTCACTAGTAATGACGAGGTCAGTCGTTCGAGTCGGCTAATGGGAACTGTCCACACACACCAGCGGTCAATCTTTTTTGGCCGCCTTTTGCATTCACGGCTCTCCCTCTCCTTTTGATATTTTGTCACCGAGCTTAAGGCAAACGCATTGCTATCTTGACCTCAGCGGGTCTCTATCATGTAAGTATGTTCTGTCGTACGAAACGAATCCAATCGAGAAATGATAGGTTCGCTTTCGCCACACTGCCCACAGCGTCCGCCGAAGCATGTACCATACCAACGTTCCACAAAGCACACAGCAAGATTCGCATCTAGTAAACAAACCTAGTAAACAAACCTAGAGATGTCATCCATCAAACTACAACAAAAAACGCATGTATAGTAGTGACAAAAAACAGGGTAACGCGCGAACGGGATTACAAGTAGAGAGTACAAATGTGAAATAGCTAGCTAGGAGGAGGGGCAATTACAACAACAGAGGGGCAAGAAAAATGGTATACGAGGAAAACCACTAATCATACAACAAATTTGGCATCGCAGGGCCGTCGAAGGGGAAAGGAAGATGGAAAGATTACAGTGGAGTCCGTTCAAGCCAAGGCTAGCTCCGTGTATGGGTACAACAAGACGTCGCCGGGTCGTTGGAAGGGTCGTGAATCGTATCATGCTCCAACGTTTCAACGCTTTACACGATGTTGAAACTAGAGGACACGACACTCGTCAGCCTTCTCTTCAATCTGCAACGAGACTGGAGAGAAACTCACGCTTCGCTCCTCCACTCGTCGCCCTTCTGCGCTGCTTGGACACGCTCCTCGGCACGGTTGATCCATCCAGAAGGATGTCCCTGTTGGACGATCACGCTATCGCGCTTAGACACCACCTTGAACTGAGCATGTTTGTCGTCCGCCTTCGTCTTGACGCTCTCAGCCTCGTCCTTCTTCTGCTGGAACATCTACAACCCATGAACGCTCAGTCAGCTCTACTCATAGCGACGAGACACCACCAAGACGCACCTCTTTGAGAACCTGAGTCCGACTCTGCCCATCCGTCTCCTTCGCCTCCCTCATACGATCCCTCACACCCACAAGCTGTCCATCCACATACTCCAACCCCGTCCTCACCGCACCCTCAATCGCCTTCTGCAGCTGCTTCTTCACCAAGCCCGTCGCGAGCGGCTTCAGCGTCTTGTACAGCAAATCATGCTTCGAGTCCCGGATCGAGAACTTGAGCGTGTCCACCTTGACGTTCACGCTCTGCACGGTGAAGACGGACGCGGGGTCGTCCTTGCCCGGCTTGGAGGTGGAGCGGACGTGTGCGGTGACGGTGAGGCCGGAGCCGCCGAGCAGGACGTCGGCGAGACCGGAGTCGGAGATCTTGGGGATACCGGTCTTCTTGCGGAAGTAGAAGGCAACATCCTTCATGTCGGCTTGGATCTGGCCGAGAGTGAAGGTGAACTCGTGGTGAGTCTCGTCCCTGAAGAGATGTCAGATGGATACAGCGCCAGCACGAAGAAGGGTACGTACTTGATCGCGTTGTACGGGCTGAACTTGACAAAGTTGTGGGCCTCGAGGGAGACGATGTTGGGGAAGAGGTTCTTCCCTGACAACGCCAAGTTCTCAATGACGACGTCCATGGAGTCGTCGGTGTACTCGATGCGCGGGATGGGGACGTAGCCAACCTAACATTGGGACCGAGTCAATGAAGGCGTAATGCGGGCTTGACAACATCCACTTACCTGTTCGATCAAGCTCGGCAAGATGACCTTCCTGATGTCCAACCACAAATCACTCTTGAACGAGAAACTACCCGAATCATCGAACAACAGATCCTTGGTGAGCCTCGCCCAATCCTCGCCAAACCTCTTATTGAGCGGATCATTGCCCCAAGCACGGAACCAGTCCCCAGTCTTGTTGAACAGATTGTCGAAGTGGGACTGATACTTGTCGTCGTAGAACCGACGACCGGACTCACGCAGGCGGTTCGCCTCGTTGTTGCAGTCCGGTTCGAGGACGTAGCCGGGCTCGATGAGTACTTTGCGGATGTAAGCGTCAACAGCCTTGAACCAGTTCCGGAGCTCTTCATCCTTCTGCGCGTCCTCGTACAGCACACGCATGGCGTCGCCGATGACACCTGGGGCGCATATAGTCAATGATCTAACGAGACCGAGAACCAAGAGCGTTGGACTTACCAAGAGACATTCCGTTAGCGAATCTCTCGAGAAGCGTTCTAAGCTCTGACGTTGCTTGCTGAAGCGAAGAATCGGAGGAGAGCTGCTGGTGAGAATCCTTGCCGTGACCGAGAACAGTCTTGCCATGGCTGGCATACTCCTCGAGGTAGTTCAACAGCCATTTGATGCTCTCTTGGTAGTCTTTGTGTTTCTGGCACTCAACGATAACCTAGATGGCAGAAGAGTATGAGACGATCGTCAAGACAAGACGTTTGAACTAGACTCACCTTCTTTCCTCTGTAAATGAATTGATCTCGCCTCTCTTCTGGGAAGTACTCCTCAGTCAAGAACTGTTTGGCGCGTTCGGACTGGTTGTTGGCGCGATCCTTGTGCTCTTGGGGGATGCGGTCGGTGAATTGATCCTAATGAAAAGGCAGCCAATGCGTAAGGAAAGAGAGAAGGGTGACTGTATGCGATGAGATACTTACGCGAAGGCCGAGAATCTTGCCCTTCAGACCCTGCTTCTTCACTTCGGCATCTTCACGGTCAGCAGGGACGGGATCTCCGTTGACGATGTCGTTCGTTTCATCCGTCTGTTTTTGGAATTCCTCCTGTGCCAAAGGTCAATGAGACACATGCGCATATATGGGCCAGAAACGTACGTTTGCCCGATCTTTCATGTCACCCGCCTTCCTCGAAGCATCTTCTTTGGCTTCCGCGCCGCTCTGCACGGTACCGTCGCCATGCTCGACGGTCGCGCCAGTGCCAGGCTCGTCCTTGGGGTGCTGCTTGACAGTTGTATCCGTCCCCGGAACACGTGCCTCCAGGACCTAGACATGACGTCATTAGTGATCGCGTGCCAAAAATGTGACGAAACGTACGGGAGTCTCGTTCGGACCAGCGTTGCGACCGCCCTCGGTGACAAACTGGTCGTTGGGGGCAGACTCGTCGACGCGACGGAGGGCCTCCTCGTTGGGACGAGCGTGATCGGCGACCTTGGAAGCACCGCGGGCGAGCAAGTCGCGTCCGATCACCGAAAAGTCGCTGAGGAGCTTGCGCACTTCGGCGTTGGTGAAGATGAGGGACAGCAGGGTGCGGAGATGGGCGACGGCTTGCTGGCCATCGGACTTGGCCTTGTCCTTGTCGACGGGGACGACCTCGTTGGGGTCTTTCTTGGCCTGGTCGAAATCGGTGTCGCGGGTGTGCCAGATGAAGTTTTGGAGCAGCTCGTCGCGGTTCTTCTCCTGAACGATGAGACGGAGGGTCTCGATGATGTCACGGGAGTCCTGGATGAGTTTCTGGCCGTCGGGGGAGAGCTGCGTCTCGGGGGACGGGGGAGTGTTTGAGGACGTAGGAGAGGGTCTTGTCGACCTGGTCGTTGGTGGGCATGCGAGAGCGTTTGAAGGCGTTGATGACGCCATAGAGGCGGAGTTTGCGGTCGACGTCAGCAGCCTGGTTCTGCTTGTTGAGGGGCTCGGTGACGGAGCCCTTTGCGGGGTGGTCGGAGATGTCCTTGGGGGCGTTGGGGAGGGACATGGTGGGCGGGGAGAGTGGGGAGACGGAGGGAGGACAGGAGGGCAGGGCTATAAAGAGGAGGGGGCAGCGACGACGTCACTGGAGAGCCACGCGAGCGAGAGGACGGCCCCGCCACCGAGTCTGACAGCCAGGCCCAGTGCACCGCGAATAGCTCCACGCCTCTCCCTTATCTGCCCCCGTCCCAGCTGCGTGTCTGCTCAGAGCTAGTCATCTTCCAAAGAGTTCTGCACAACGGGCGATGAGCAGCAAACAACGTCACTCCTCAATCCAGTCAGTCTCACTTACGTAACTTTCTCCCATTCAGTCTCTCTTCTCCACCGATGATTCGTTCTCCTAGACTAGTCACTCGTGCCAAGAAGACAAAATCTCCTTTCCGTTCATAGCGTCTGCTTCCGGTACGCAATGCCGAGCAGTGGGCCCTGTAGTGAGTGGTCACCGATGGAGGTTCTGGCAAGAGGGACTCGGAGTCGGACGAGTCAATCTGCTCAGCGCTCAACGCATTGCGCATACAGATGCCTGCAGCACGTTGCGCATGATATTTTTCATTATGGCCTCGTCTGCCAGGCCTGCCTAGCTCAATCGGATAGAGCGTAAGACTTTTACGCTCAAAGTAAGGCGGTGAAATCTTAAGGCTGCGGGTTCGACCCCCGCGGTGGGCTAGCACTGCTGCAGATTGTGATGGCATTTCTTTTTGATTCGAGTATGTCATCCGTAGTCGTGTATAGTTAGCAACGGAGACTAACTTCACTGGTGATCATCGTTACGACGGTTTTCATTTTTGCCTCAGAGTCAACTTGAACGTAGATCGGAATTCCTTGCTCGTAGAGCAAGGCTACCCGCTGGCTTTCTGGCTCGCCCGATCCGACGGGTTCAAAGTTATTCCGACAGATCCTCCTAGCCCTCATTTAGGGTGCTCTCGTAATACGAATTACGAGGCAAAATCCTGTATTGTTCTTGACAAGTTCCTTCGACACCTGCTTCGACGTCCCCTTCAGAATTCAGAATCCCTTGGGAAACCTCTCAACGTTAACCAAGAGTGAGACGTAGCTTTCGTTTTGCTGATTTGATAGCGTCCAGATGAGCAAATGAGATCCTCACCCTCAGAACTAAGAGGGATGTGAAAAGTCTACCGTACAGTACTGTACTCTAGAACTTGAATACCAATTCTCTGCCTGATGTTTACTTCCTCGGTTCATACTCGTCTTCATCCAGACACGAAACCGAAAGACGAGCAAGGACCCCGCCGCGGCCACGCGGCATTTCGAGTGCATAGAGCACCACATACACACTCAGGCTGCTACGAAGTGAAGCGCGATCTGTGCTACGGCTCTCCGAACGACTCGTTGGTATGAGGTAGTACTGAGGGTATAATACATGATGATCCTATCGTACAGTCCATGTATGCACCGAAAACTCTCCAAAGCTCGAGCCCCAACCATCCTCACCCTCCGACGTACCTCTGACGCATCCGGTACACTGAGCCGCGTGTTGGTGGGCTTGGACGTCAGCCGTGTTGCCGCTCAAAGCAAGTCGACCATCTGATCTTCGATCTTGTCGGATTTCCAGCCAGTTTTCCTCACAGCGTCCCACAAGAGTCGTTTCAGAGCACCGTGTGTGGAGAGAACAAGTTGTGGTGTGGGCAGTTTGGGAGGAGTGGGGGGACCAGGGAAGCCGATGGGTACAGCAGCACGGGAAGCAGTGCCAGAGGAATCGCTGGATCGAGCGGTGCTTCCGATGGCGTCGTCCTCGTCGTCATCTAGGGCTCGAGGAACGGGAATATACAGCTCTTCTGGTT